TTACCATTATCCTTTGGCTAGGTGAACAAAACACAAATAACAATCAATCTCTTAATTTTCTTTATGTTTTCTTGATTTCCCTTCCCTTTCCAATTATTCCATGGCAAATCCAAAAGGAGGAGAGGTGGGGGAAAAAAGGGTAAATTGCACTATTACTGGGAATAAATTTGTTCTGAATATGTATAATTTCTACCGTGGCATTGTTCTTTTGATTTGTTTTTTTTTTTTTAAATCACACCTTGTTTTGGCCTTTAGAAAATAATTTTTTAATGTAGTACACAAAGTACATAAAGCTTTTGAGTAGTGGGTGAGAAATCTATTGTCTGGAGCTCAGGTCCCCCATCACTTGGGAACAAAAGAGTGTCAGGAATGTTAATTTTGGTTGCCAGGTGTTTGAGGGTTGAAAACTGAACAAAGATGACGTTCAACCAGGATTTTAAAAGAGAAAGTTGAGAATGCGTCAGTTATTTTCTAGATTGAGCTGATAATAAAGTCAGTGTCGAGTATAAATAGTCTCAGTAAAGAAAACATACAGGAAAAAAAAAGGAAATTTTACCAAATCAATCATCACTGATAAATACTGGGGGGGAGGAGGCTCAGGGGACCCTTGTGGCTCTGCACAACTCCCTGAGAGGAGGGGACAGCCTGGGGTTGGGCTCTGCTCCCCAGGAACATGGGAGAGGACAAGAGGGATCAGCTTTAAATTGTTCCAGGGGAGGATTGGAATGGATATTAGGGAAAATGTTTTCACCAGAAGGGTTGTCAAGCGTTGGAAGGGGCTGTGCAGGGAAGTGATGGAGTGCCCATCCCTGGGGGAGATCAACAGATGTGGAGATGGTTTGGTTTGCTTGTGGTCTTGGCACTGCTGGGGTAAAGGTTGGGGTAAAGGTAAAGATTGGACTGCACATAAAAGCTCTTTTCTGCATTACAGACCCCGTGATTCCACACTGATCACCCCCATGTCAGGTTCTGGGTTTGCTGTCTGTGCCCAGGCTCTCCCTGGCAGTGCTGGGCTGCGTTTCCATGTCTCGGTGCTTTGGGAAGGTCCCGCTGGCCCCAGCAGCAGGCTGGCAGGTACAGCCTCAGCTCAGGCTGCTGCTGCCCAGGGGTCTCTGCAGGCTGGAAATGCCCCTTGCCTTGCAGGGACACCCTAGTCCAGGCTGGGCAGGAGAGCTTCCAGTACCTTTTGTAGCAGAGTGCAGTAGGTGTCACTAGAGCCCTTCCCAACGCTCAAAGGGAAGCTCATTTCAGATGCAGGATCACCGGCAGCAACTGCTCCTGCAGTCATGGTTTTTCCTCTGTCCTGTTTGTAGAAGCAAAAAATTAATCCATGGAGATTTTTGCTTTTAGCCTAGGATGATTCCAATGCAATAGTATTGGTATATTTTTCTTCAGTTTTTCTTTAAGCAACTTAGTTGGTGCTAGAAAATAATTTTCAGTTAATCTTTTGTAACAAAATCCTGCTTCATGTTTTGTACTAAAACCACTTTGTGCCAGACTGTCACCTTTTAGTAGTTAATGCAATTCCTGTTTTACTGCAAAAGTCTTGATTTTCACTTGTGCAGCACATCACCCAGCTGTGCAATATATCCTGCACCTTCCACTGCCTAATCACTGCTCCAGTGCAGTTCTCTAGGAAGGGTGGTTATGTCCACATGCACTTGGGTCAGGGGAATATGAGCCACTGACAGTTGAAAAATAGTAAGAAAATACTGAAAAATGATGGAGCTGTTATTCTGTTTATTTTTAAGAAGCAACCACCATGAAGACAGTTGTTTTTAAAGAAAAATATTTGAGCTTTGCAGATTGCCCCCTTTTTGAATTTATCCTCCAGCTGGTCACTAAAGATGGGATTGGCTGACTTTTCTTTTCAGCTCTGGGAAGCCTTGAGCTGACACAGGGCTCTGGCTGCCCAAGGAGGGCTGTGGTGTCCAGCCTTATCCCTTTGCATTGGCTAAAGCCAGGGGAGATGATTTGTCAGCCTGACATCTGATCCACAACTTTCAGCAGCTGAGCAAAATAAAAATGAGCTGTAAACTTTAATACAGGGTAGGAATTGTATGAGTTGCCATGCAGGAAGGGTGGAGAGCAGGTGAGGTTTGTAATATGATGGAAGCATTGGCATAAGGCGTGATGCCAGGGCAAGGTGTCCCTCGGCAGCTTTGGTGGTTGAATCAGGGCTTGTTGGTGTCCCCACATGTGAGGAAATGCCTGAACTCTCATTTTGCTTTCACTAATGCACTGCTGGGTTAATGGTTGGACTCAGTGATGTAAAAGGTCTTTTCTAACCTAAGGAATTCCATGCTGACTAACAGCAGGTCAGAACTGCCAGGTGGGCAGAGCCTGTGAGGAGGCTGCCGTGGACAAAGAAGGTCAGCAAATGACTGGTGCAATTCATCATCTCTCCATGGGTCTGTGTCAGCTGAGGAACGTGGACAGAGCCTGGACGTGCAGAAGTGTGGGGCAGCTCTGCCTGTTTGGTGTTTGATTGTTGTGCATCTTGCAGGTAATTAAAATCCTCATCATGTTCTTGTGTTGGGAGTAGGAACCTGCCTGGCCCTTGGAGGGCACGGAGGGGGCTGTGAGGGACAGGGAGGGATGGCTGTGCTGCTCAGGGCTCAGGAAGAGGTGGCCACAGTGGCCAGCATTCATTGCCCATGCACAGCAGTCAGCACCAGGGCGTGCGTTTCCAGCTGACAGCTCCCAATTGTTTCCTCACCAATTACTGCAGCCAGGCCTTGATAGCACGGTGAGATGTGCCTCCCACCCATCCTTCATCTCTGTCACACTGACTGGGTGTTCTGCCTTTGTTACGACTGGGAGAACTTCAGCAGCGTCAGAAAAATAAGCAAGCCTGTCTCTGGTGTGAAAGGCTTAAAGACAGGGTGGATGCTGTTAAATAAAAATGTCTCAGTCCAGATGAAAATGTACATGGAAAAAAAAACCTCATGGACCAGCTGAGCCCTCTCAGCTCTGTCTTCATTTGGGACCCAGTGGGGGATGAAAAGAGTAGGAACTTTTCTTTTGCTAGACATCTTTATACTTAGTAAAGTATTCAGCCTTTCTTATAATTTATTCATTGTGGTCTAGCATAGTCTAAAATATCAGCCCTTCCCTCTCTGTCCTTTTACATACGCATTTTTGATGCCTCTTAATTCATTATTTAAGCAGCCTGCGTTCTGCTTTACAAAACACCCTCCTCCCCGGTACCTTAATGCCATCAGTTATTTGTGTATCTGTGTCAGCAGCTTTCCAGCAGGGAAGGGAAGGGGCAGGCTGGGATGCTGATCCCCCAGCCCTCATCTCCTGCACCCATCCCAGCTGCCCTGCCTGGGGAGGAGCAGAGGGCTGGGCAGGGAGAGGGGCTGAGCAGCCAGGGCTGGAGAGCTGCAGCTCCAGTAAAGCACTTGAGGATGAGCTGAAGTGATGCCCCATCATGTGCTGTTTGGGGGCCTCAGAGTTCCCCTGGGGGGGGAAAGTGGCTCAGTGGCACTTTAGGGAGGGTGGGAGAATGGGACAGTGCAGCTCTTGGCACGGTGGAACCCCTGCTCCTGCTGGGACCTGGAGTCGCCCTCCTGGGACTCCGTGAAAATCCATTTTGGCAGCACATCCCACCCTGCAGAAGTGTCTGAGCTAGAGCTGGTGAGAGGCAGGGGACCCCTTTGATGGAGGTGCACCTGGAGTGTAAAGTATTCCCTGTCTTGTCACTAATTACAAAGTTGGATAGCTGTCAACAGGAACATTTGCAGCTGAAAAACGAGTCTGTACGTGGGGAAGTGTGAGCGATGCTTTGATTGGAGTTCTTGCAGCAATCTGTTTGCTCCCTGGGCACGGTGTTTGAAACGCTGCCAAATGTGTCCTTCCCCCCTCCAGATTCCATGGGTGATTCCTGCATCCAGGAAAGGAGGGTCTGGAAGGTGCCACGTTCCCAGCACTGCCTTTCCCTAACAAAAGAAAATTGGGCAGATAGTTCAGTTCAGAGTATTATAACTCTCCCTCAAGGAAAAGAAATAAAGGTTAAGTAAATTGAGAGGAACACAGATGTTCCAAACCTCCTTCTTATGGCCTTGGTTGCAAAAATGCCCTGGACATTATCTATTCAACATTTTTAACATTCCAGCCAAAGAAGAAGTTGGGAATATTTGACCTGTTAGTGCATGCTTCAAAGAAAGCATTTTCAAATACAGTGTGATAAATCAAGCTTTACTTACTTAATAGCCACAATGTTTTCTTTTTGAGTCAGGAACTCATGAGAGAGTCTAGGTCTAAAAAACAGAACTGACAGCTTTCTGGCCATTTAATGGAAGTTCTATTTTATTGATCCGATCTGAAAGTGTTTAATATTAGCTTTGTGCGATGACATCAGCTGAGGATGCTGCTGTCACTTTGGGGACAGCAGGAGGAAGCACAATCCCTGCAAGGCAGGAGCTTGTTCTCAGCAGGAGGGACTTGGCTGAGGACATCCCAGATCCCACTGACTCAGTGCTTGCCTAAACACTTTTTCCTTATGTTTTGCAAATAACAAGCAATTTTGCTTATTTCTGTGGCTTTGGGGGTTTGCCCCCTCCTGACAAAACAGTGTTTGCTTGTTCCCATATTTACTTTCTCCCAGCTCTCCAATATCATATTTGCACAGTCAATACTCTTCTGCTGGCAGATTATTTTTAATAGAGCACTTTATTGAAGTGTCTTTCAGGAGAATATTTGCACTGCAGTGCACATCAGAGCACTGCTGTGTGAGAAGGGCTTCTCCTGAATGCACCAGCACCTCCTTATCAAATTTTGTGCTTGGAACATTTAGATGAAGGAGGATAAAAAGGAATGTGACTGCAGATCCTGTGTAGATCCTTGTGTAAATCCCACCATGGGCAAGGTCTTGCTGGACATTGACACGTTGTGAAGTAAGTACAGCACGTCCCATGCAGCTTTTTTGTCCCCCAGATTATCTTCCCATCACTTTTAAATTCCTGACACCCAAATTATTTTTTAAAACTTTTTATTTTCCTTTTTCTAATTACTGAGAAGAAATCCCAAGTTTCTCTCATTAGGGGGCAAGTTAATTAACCTCCAGTATATTCTGTTACTCTTGGAGTTAACCAGACCCCAACTGCTTCTTTTTGATGTCATTTTTTGGTTATCCTGAGCCTGAGATGGAGGTGGTGACTGGCACTGGCCACACTGAAACCCACAACTCATCCCTCCTGGGACTTCAGTGGCACCAAGATTTCATGAGAGGAAGGGTTTGATGGCACTGGAGATGGGAACACTTCTGCTCACCACTCTCTCAGTCAGCACTCCACAGAGGAAAGTTTAGGTAGGTCTGTTGTAAGCAGCTCCATTTAATTTTGTTATTTTTCACTATTAATTATCACTGGAAGCAGTTTCCAGTGAATTAAAATCCTCCTGTCTGTTGAGGAATAGGGCTGCTCTGGGTGTGCTTATTTTTCTATGTGTCTGCTCATGCAGATTTCCTGAACCCCTGCAATTTTCCTAGCTTCTCGCTGCTATTTGACATTTATTCTTTGTGTACTTTTCCATCTCATTAATTTATTAAACATCAATGGTGATGCAGGTCTTTGATCCACTTAAAAATTAACCACCTACGCCTGTCTCCTAACCAGTTCTTGAGCCATGGCAATATTCCCTTTCTCCTGGATATTTTGGCTCATCAACAGACCCTTGCCAGTGCCTGTGTCTGAGATGATTTTAAAGACCATGTGATTTTTTTTTTTTGAGTTTCCCATATTATTGTCAGGTTTGCTTGCAGAAAGATGCAGTTTTTCTCTCTAAAAATGTGTTGTTCAGCAAGGTTTGTGTAACTTTTGCTGACTTCCCAAAATAATCAGCTTTTTTGGCAAGGAAGAAATATCATGGCTGGGAAATGGATTTGTCTTGAGCATTTCTCGAAGAAGGGGGTTAATGGGAAGAGATCCCTGCTAGCAGCTCTGTTGCTCTCTCCTTGCAGAGCTTTTGGGTGAAACCATCTGGCCCTGAGAATCTGCACTTTTCTCTGTGCTGACACAGGTGATGCTGCACCCCTCCTCTGCCAGAAACTCCTGGGTGCTCCTCATGCCAAATCCATCACTTCAATATCCTCCTTTACAGGAATGCTTGATTCCTGTCCACATTCCCAGATTTTTTATTTTTATTTTTATTTTTTTTGATGCCTGTTCTCTTCCTACAGGAGGTGAAATACATCATCACAATGTACCACAGCCCCTAAAACCTAATGGTGCTGTCAGAGCTCACTGCTGAACTTTGGTCCCCAGAAGGTGGGAGCTTCCCTCCTTGGAAGGAGCCCTTCCAAAAGCTGCCTCTGAGTTGCTAAGAAACAGCTTGTCACTGTGACATGGGCTGTAGGCAGTTCTGTACAGGTAATTAGAAGTCACTCCTGCTTTATTATTAACTATTTGTTGACTTTTTTTTCCTTTTAAATAATTTCCCTCCCCGTCCCCAGAGCGTTCAGCACTCCTGGTACATCTGCATCAATTATGCATCCTCTGTGTGATTTTTCTTCCTGTGGAAACTTGGCTTGCAGGGGCTCTTTGTGATGCTCTAGCCATGACCTAACCCTGCTTTGCTGAATAATTCCTACCGAGACAACACAGTTTCCCTGCTGTGTTTTCCACGCTGCTGTGTCTCAGCAAGGCAAATAAATCAGGCTGTCTCCCACCACCAGGCAGCCTTGTTTGCTCAATTTTGCCATTCCATTTCTTGCTTTATTGAATAAGCATGTATTTATGTACCTTGTGTCCTTTCTCTGCCTGCCCATTTTTTATTGAACTCCTCTATCGTTCAGTTGGATTTTCCTGACAGAGTTTTGGATCTTAAAATGCTATTTCTTCAGACCAGCTGTCACTTCTGTCCTAACCTTGTCCCATGAGGTCTCTGTGCACTGCTTACGTGTCTAGCTCTGCCTGCCCCTTCACCTTCTCCTCAGCTCTTTTAGTTTTAATACCTCATACACGAAGTCTGGTTGGGTTTTACCCCCCTTCTCTTTAATTAGGGTGACTCTCTTATTTTTGGCACTCTCCAAAAACCAGCACCCCTACAATGAGAACAGCCTTTATGTTCTTCATGACTCTTTGTGCACCAAGCTCGTGTCTCTCTGGGGATTAGCAGGGAGATGCTGCTGCACCAGCCCCAGCCTTAAATCTCTTCCCCAGAGGTAGAAGCAGTCTCCAGCCAGACTAAGGGGTTATTTTAGCTCCCCTCAGCCTGCTCTGGAGCCGTGGAGGGTGGCTCTGGGGCAGCTCACAGCCGGCTGGCTCCGAGGGAACCTCAAGCTCCACTTGGCTGGAGCCAGCACCTGGCAGCTCCTGGGGAAAGAAGTGGGAGAGCAACCCCAGGGAGGGGATCTGCTGCCACCCCACGCTCTGTCAGCCCCCTCCTAGTGAGGCTTCAGACTGGAGAGGGAGGTTTCTGTGCTGAATCACCAGTTTGGGAACACACCACTTGGCGGGATTTCCCCCCCACCCCAAATCCCTGTTTCTCTCAGGAGAGCTCTGTGGAGCTTTGGGGATGTGGGGGAACAGAAAAACCTTTTCCCTAATGGCTCATCCTGCTGCTTAGTGACCACCTGCCAAATTCAATGTCGGGAGATGCTGAGATCTGTGGGGCTGGGAGTCGGTGCCTAATGAAGGCACGTCAGGCTGGGAATGAGGATTTTATACCCCGCACAGCAGAACTCCAGGATGTTATTTATAGCTGCTCACTTGCACCACAAGCACCTGTAGAGACTTTATTCTCCAGCCCCTCAGTGGAATCACAAATGACAGAAAGAGCTGAAGATGTAATGACCCTTGAAGTAGCAGAAATTATTTACCAAACCGTAGATAAGACGACAGATCTCTCCTGCACTGTGTTTAGGGCATCCAATCTATTGCAGATGTTACCATAGTCATGCTGTTTAATTTAAAATTGCCCTGCCTTCCTTGTGTCTCAAATTCTTTTCTTGGGAAACTAAATCCTTTCATAACCTAAATGCAGCAGAGGAGATGAAAGCTGCTGGTCTGGGGATGTGTATGGCCATTCCAAGGGAGCTCTATGTAATTGTTTTTTAAATGGACATGCTTGCTCTATTTTTTTTGGTCTGGTTCATCCTGGTTTTGTTGTTTGTGATATGTCTTCTGACATATGCTCCTTGTCTAGCAATGAAAAGCTACCAAGATTAAAAACCTTTGTGAATTTATAACTGGCATAGTAAGAGCTCAAGCTCTTCTCATTTTACTGATTTTGCGACCTCCATAGCAGATATAATGCAGGGATTAAAAAGGAATGGTTACTATTGGTTTCCTGGAATAATTTTCTTTGTACATGGGTCAAAAGAATAAGGATTAACAAAATTATTAGGCATTGGAGACAATAGCCCAATCTGTCTGCCTTTAGCTTTTAAGGTGTCTCTTAACAGGGCAGGTGGCTCTGATAGAGAAGGCTTGTCACTCTCTTGAGCTGAACATGGCCCCTACTCCCCAAAAAATTGTTCACTTCAGACCAATTCCTCACTACCGAATACCCAATAAGTCTTCACTGAAATCAGTCAAGGATCCTAGCTTCAGCTTCATGTGAGGGAGTCTGATTTACATTTACAAGACATAATATGGTTGGTCCTAATTTTTCCTGTGTGCTTTCAGCTGCCGTGCCAAGCAGCGAGTTGTGTAAATCTCTCCAGTGTGAGCTTTACCTATCGTTTAACAATCTCTTGTGAGCACTAATTTTAGTTTTCCCCCTACTGAACAAGGTTTTGGAAGTGCTCAATGGATGTCCAGCACATGCAGGTGGAGATAACCCCGGGGATTAATTTCACCCATGGCTTTATCAGGGCTCAGTGAGACCCACGGGACAAGAGAGGCCCTTTACCCACAGCTCCTGGATTGTTCTTCCTGGTGGTGCTGCAATCAAGGCTGTCAAGGAAAATGATCTACAGGCAGTAGCTTGATTATATTTGTCCTGAGATACTTCTACACTAAAGGATTTTCAAGTTTTAATCAGTCTGCATTAACTGCAGTGCTCTTGTAGTTGATCATGGAAAGAAAGCAACTGTTGATTGCACTAAAAGCATTAAGTGACCTCTGCTAATTAAAAGATAATGTCAGTGCATCTGAGTGGAGTGCCTGGGTCTTTAGCCTTTCAGATAGACACTAAATGAAAATCAAAGAGTTTGGAGGAAATATTTGTGGTAAAGTTAAGAGACTTGTTTGTAGAAATATCAGGTCATGTTTCATAAAAGTTATTTAATCCATTAATGATACCCAATATGCCATAGAAGCAGCAATTTGCTGAAAAAGAGCAAGCTCTTCCCCAGATGTGGGATGTCTTTACTTACTCTGCCTTAACTGGAGCATTTACCTTGGGAAGCCTATGATATAGTGAATCCAGTGTGTGTCCCCCTGTTGTCCATAAATAAACCAAATGCTTTTTCTCACAAATGCAGCTCACCTTTTAAATGACCCAGACGTTCACTTGCCTTTATTTCATTAATCTCAGTGTCTGGGAGAGAAAATTAAACAGGTGGAATAGTTATGTACAAGCACATCCCTTGCTCCTTGGAGATGATCTCTGGTAAACATTATCTTCTGTTTTCTATATTTATATAGACACAGAATGGAAGCCCTTTGGACAGAGAAGCAATGGCGAATGGAAGCCCTTTGGACAGAGAAGCAATGGCACAAATTCTCAGTGAAATCACATGGAGATGCTGTTGTGTCCTCCAAGGAGCCATCAGTGGCCAGAGAGCTCTTGGAGGAGGTGCCAAAGCAGTTGGTGAAAGTGTGGGAAAATTTTTCAGGTTTCTGCCTCACTCTGACTCTTTCTTCTGTGAGAAGAAACAGAAAGAAGGGAAGTTAAAATATTTTTTTTCCATGTGGAAGAAGTTAAATCCCACATGGGAATAGAGAAGGGAACAGAATGGTTCAAATTGTGGTGTTGAAAATGAGGTTGACTCCATGCATAAAGCAGAGGCTTCCTGGGGAGGAGAGGGGAGGTGTCTGCTTCTCTTCAGATTAAAAGAACCGTTCTGGAAGCTGAAGGTAATCTCTTCCCAGGCCTTTGTAAGCGAGCTTCACAGCTGCCAGATTGCATTTGCTCACAGCCAGCAGCCCTGGCTGAGGAGGCTGCAGGGCGAGGAGCAGCACAGCACCGGGTGTGAGCCAGCCCTGGCTGGGCTCTGTCCATCCAAAGGCTCTCTCCAGGCAGAAAGGGGCTGATTTGCCACCATCCCAAAAGCTACAGGACGAGCTGGGCTCAGCCTCCAGGGGTATCAAGATTAGAGGGGAATTTTCAGACAGGAAATACTGATTTTTCTCAGTGCCAGTCACCCACCTCACAGAAAATATTGTTCATCTGAAGGGAAATGGAAATGTAAGCCTTTGACACAAATATCCCCTTTAAAGAAGCCTTCCTCACCCCCAACCCCCCACCCACTGGCAATAGAAAGTTACATTTACTTACGTGAAACCTGAAAAATTTTAACTTTGAAAACTTTAAACTTTGAAAAAATGCCCTTTCTGTTTGCCCTTAGCACTGAACTTTGTGGAATTCACCCTTTGTTCTACTGAGGTCTCAGCAGTGACTGATGCCTCATTTCTCTCTTTTCTGTTTTACAATTAACCATTATTTTCAGTGTTTTTTTAAAGAGCAATATGCACACCTGAAGATATTTTAAAGAAACTCTTTTAAAAGGTTATAAAGAATAAAATAAATACTTGGCATCGAGATTCTTGGAGTGCATGATGAATATTTTAACAACAAAAAATCTAGCCAGAGAGAAATGAAAAGATTTAGTGCTCTAAATAAAACTCTTTGTGGGTTTTAATGTGCAAAAATGGACAACAATGGCTTTAAAGCCTCTCCACAAATACTTACATCTCTGCCCTGGTATACTCTGCATATGTTATATCCATAGCCAGTAATGGTCTGTTGTGTCTCTAGGTGCTGAGGGAAGGTATTACAGCAGTTTTCTCCTCTAGGACTTTGCATAATAACCTCTGGGCTTTGAGCAGCGAGTTTGGACCTGTGGGAAGACAGCTGTGGGTGTAAAGCTCAGGTTTTGGATCCTGTGGTGGAAAGTGGGAACCAGAGAGAGGGGAGGGAAGGGATGTTTGGGAGCTGCTCACTCCCCACAGAGGGGCTCAGCCAGCACAAACTGGGGAAAACTCTGTGCTCACACAATTTCTGATTGTCTTGTGGCTGCAGTGAGGGCTCAGACCAATGTGGGATAAACTTTGGTTGTGTCACTGCTTAATGTTTCCATTTCTTTCCCTCCCTCACACACATCCCCACACAGCTGGAAAAGAGAAGCTTTCTGTAATATCAGCTGTGACAGAAGTGGAGCATTACTCGAGTTTTTATTTGTGTAATTGGTCAATTCACTAGCTAAGAAAGCCTTTATTATTATTTTTTTTTAATTAACCAAATGTGTAAGTGTCCATGAAACATGGATTTCTGTAATTATTTCTGTAAAATAATATCTTTGGCCTGAGCAGGAGCCCTTCAGTCCTGCTGTAAGGTTGCCTTTCTTCAAGCCCTCCAGCTAATTGAATCTTATATATTTTCTTCCTTGCTGTTATAGAAACTCCTACTGCTAAATGTAGTGAATGCAATTGCTAAAGTGATGGTGCCAGTATAAATTATTAAAATTACATGGAGTAATAAAAATATGTTGTATATAAAAAGATACAGAAAAGGCAGTAGGACTCAAGCTTTCAAGTTACTTCAGAAAATTCTCTATATCCATAATCTGGACAAGTGGTACAGTTGGGTTCTGTCTTTACATGTTTTCTAAAGCAGAATGTTTGGATGCCATACTTTTCAGGCTTCCAGCTTTCCTTGAAGAAAATGAGATGGTTTGAAGAGGGCTGCTCTCAGGTTTTTGATAACTTTTGTAAGCATCTTGGGTTGAAACATTAAAAACATAATTTCCAAATTCATAAGTTACTTCTGAAAATCTATGTTGTTTGTTTGTAACAAGAATCATTGAAAAAAATTTGACTGTGTGAAGATCACTTTGTATCAAACATAAAAATTCATTAATTTAGTACATAATGTCTGATTCCTTGTTATTACAACAGAGGAGCTCTTGAAAAACATGAGAAACCTATTCCTCCCCTTCACTATAAATTAATAAAAATCATCCATTTGAGGTTTTTTTCTTGCAGCAGACACTCAGAGAATGGACATGGGAAGTGCCATGGAAAATTGGAAAGAGACACTAAACAGCACAGATGCAAGGTTAGTGTTACACAAAAAAAAAAAGGAGTTCAGTGAATAATCTCAGCCCTTGATGAAGAAGATGTAGTGAAATGTTGACTTTAATTGCCATGGGACATAGATTAGCAGATGGTCCCATGGATAGACTGCTCTCCATGTCTATAAATAGCACAAGTTAATTTATGCAAGATCTTCCTTTTCTTTTACAGCCATCTCCCAATGTGTCAATATCTTATTGGCAAGGAAGCATCCAGCCCCAGAGCTGGAATGGAGACCCTGTTTCCAGCCCCGGTATCGTGTGATTATGTTACAGCAAAAAAACCATCTGATCAAATAACTCCTGATTGAAAAGACAGGCTGTGACAGTCTGATCTGAACACACCTTCATTTCAGAAATAACTATCAGGTATCTGCAAGTCAGCTGGAATAATGGCTGGGAGAAGTGGGGGAGGCAGCACGGCTCGGAGTGGGATCAGGGAGCTTCTCCCGGCTCCGTCTCAGGCTGCTGATGGTGTTTTGCTTTGCACATCTCCAGCTTCCACCTCCCTGCTGCTGGGTGAACTCTTTTGCTTGAGGTCTCTCTGCCACGGTCACAGGTAAGTGGTGAAAAGGTTTTTGGACCTGCCAGGAGTGTGTGCAGCCAGCAACCTTCAGCCTGGCCCCTCTGTGTCAAGTTTGGCCTCCCCGACCTGCAGACCCCTGGTGCCTCTCAGCTCCTTTTTCCTCTTTCCTGGGCTTCCCCAGGCCTCTCACTCCCTGTCTGCCTGTCCAGTTTTTGTAATGGAAACCTCTCCTTTTGGTTCACAGCTTTGGCTTCTCTGTCATTCTGGAAGCCTCATGTTTGGAGCTGTCACGGAGTAATTCGGTACAAGAATCTCATGGATATTTCTGCTTCTGGGCTTGTTAAGTCATTTGTGCCCTGTCCAAAGAACTTCTAGAATCCCCCACTTTTAAGCTCTTCATCCATCATTGTGCAAATGTTGGCATTATAAAGCAGGGTCCAAGCAACCTTTGTGTCCAGGTCTCCCTTGCTGCTACAATGAATTAAAGAGGTACCAGTAAATACGAAGCCAGCAAAGAATTTTCCAAGCCACCTAAGTACAGGCAGTATTTTAAGCCAGAGCACTTCCTTTTCCCAACAGTATCATGGTGTCTATAAGCCCCACAGAAGGGCTGAGCCCTCCCCCTTCACCACCTGGGCAGGTAAATGAAAATGTAACAGAGGACCTGCAGTGATTGACTTTGTGCCATTTTGAGCCTGACATCTACCAAAATCAGCCACTAGAAGTATTTACTGATAGACCAAGGTCCACAACCTGCTCTGTGATAAATCTGAACCCCCTTTGGTTCAGTAGGGATATTCTGGATTTACCTACATGTAATTTAGAGCAGATTTTGGACCCTGCCCATGAGCATTATGCCTTTCCCTACAGGAAGGAAGATTGATTCTGACCTTACTTAAACTAAGCAGCTTTAATCGTTCACTATAGAAACACCAAGACTGGGCTGGGGGCTGGGGACACAGACATGGGAATCCTATAATCTTTGGTTAAGTTGTAATGAAATTGTCCAGGATGAGAAGGAAACAGATGGATTCTGATTAATTTCTCACAAGTGTAGACCTCAGCATCCGATGTAACATATGTGGTGAGCAAATGTCACTCATGCCTCCAAAGTGCAGAAAAAATCACTATTGTCAGGATATATTCATTGGCATATTGGCTGCTGAACTCCCAAGGGTGCAAGGATGCTGTGCATTACATTTAGTCCTGAATTAAATATTCAGAGGCAGAGATACCTAACCCTTTCCTGTATGCCTCACTGGTTATCACAGTTGAGCTTAATGAATTGAAAGAGGGAGGGGAAGGGAGATTTCTCCCCCTCCTTTGTAAATCATTATTTACTGTGGGAGGAATATCAAGATGAGTTGGTATTTCTGCTTTAGAGTGTTCAGCTGACTACCAATAGAGCCTGAGTTAGGGAAAATAATGCAGCTTTGAGCTGTAAATGAGCAACTACACGACTTTCATCTTGTATTGATAGAAATCAGAGCCCAGCTCTGTGTTTGTGGAGTTGTTCTGGGTTTTGTCACTTCTATAATCTATTCCATGTAATTGCATATTTAAAGAAAATGTAGTTCATTTATTGATTGCCACAATATTGTTTCAGGCAGGTAAGATAAGAGGCCAGAGCTGCTTTCTCTTGTCTCCACATAGTCTTAGGGAGTGCAAGGAGCAATGCACGTGAGTAAAGCGGGGCCCCATCTGTGCTGAGGAAAGAGATTCATTACAGCTGACTTGTCCTGTCAGAATTACTGCCCCAGACTGTTTCTCGGAAAAGGATGTCACTAAGATATCTATTAGAGTATTTCAGCCACAAACTTGAGAAACGAATATTGAGCAGTGGGGCTCCTCTGTGGCTCAGGCTCTGCCCCTGGGTGCAGCTCCCCACTTCCAGTCACTCCCTCTGCAAAACTGAGTGATGGGTCTGTCTGTGTCTTCTCTTCTTAAAACTAATTCCTCATTATAAAAAATGGGGGAAAATGGATATTTTGCTCTCTAACTCACTGTAGGTTGAAATGTAGTGTCTGTCTTGCCACTACTCCACTACTCCACATTATGAGCTGGTTTGTTTGTCTTAATGATCTCCTGTTTAACAAGTGAGTGTGCATCTTTTTTGATGGGGAAGCTGAATCATCTCAAAAAGAGCTTTATTTCTGATTGAGGAATCCATGGCTGATAATGCTGGGGAAATCTTGAGACATTAGCTGCTGTCTTACACTGGTTGAAATTGGCTCTTCACATGCAGCCTTTTGTTTCTTCCTAAATGGAAGATGCAGCAAAGCTCAGTAATAGTTGGAACTACACTAAACAGTCCCCATCTCCTGGAGTCATAACCTTCATTTTGGGACCCCTAGTTTTGGAAAACTTCACCTGGGGTTCTGGTTTCCTTTTCTCACTGTTCAAAGTTGTGCCCTGTGCTGGACTCCGGGCTCCTGGATCCCAGCAGGGTTTGGTTTGACTCCATTGCTCATTAGAGACAACTCTTTGCTTAAACCTTTAAAAATTCTAATGAGAAGACTCTGATTTCTCAGGAAGCTGATATACAATTCACTGCTGGTTTTGCTAAAATTCCTGAGTTTTTCTTTGCTGGGCTGTTTCCAACGTTTTTTTTCCTGGCATTGCCTTAATTATGTACCAAAAGTGGGTAGCAATTTGTGTGTCTGCAAAGCTTGTGAACACAGTGCTCTTTGTCAGATGGAAACTCTTGTTTTCACTTTTTCTGTTTTTTCCATGGTGCCTGACAATGCATCACTTACAGTTCCTTCCTTTAAGCTGGAGTCAGTGCAATGAGTCTAAGTTTGATAATTGCTTATTGCATCCAGACTGCACAAGGCAAAATCACTTAAATCCTCTGTTGATCTCCAGAGTCACTGAACAAGACTAAACTGTCTCATTTTTCCTTGCTTTATCACATGGCACTGGAATTCCCTATCAATGTTACAGTCTGCTTTGCTTTCCTGGAAACCAGGAGCTGTGCTGGGACTCCTTGGCCTGTAAAAGTGACATTGCAGAGCTACAGCAGGACTTTCTGACCCAGCTTGTGTTGCGTGGAAACCTCAGAGTCTCATGATGTTAAATCATGAGACTAATACACAGTTTACAGCTGAATCCATGGTTTGCTGGACAAACCTACCCACTGCTTTGCTTGGCAGAGGTTTTTGTGGGTAACCAGGCAAGCCTGAAGCCGTGGGAAGAGGTGAAGCCAGGGAGACTGGTGGGAGATGGATTTGTAGGGAAGATAAAATGGTGGGTGCAGAGATTTGAGTTAATTAATTGCAAAGCTACAGAGAAAAGGAACATAGAACCAATGCAGAATTATCTTGTGACCAGAAATATTTCCCTAAATCAGGTGAGTGAGAATTTACTCACTCAAGTGAAGCTGTTTTCAATGAGCAGAGATGAGGATGGGACCTGAGTGCACGTTGCCTTTGTCTCTCCAGCTGAGGCATCACACATGAAAGTCCCAATCGCTGCTTCCTGTGTTCAGCAAACCAGTAGAGATATAAAATTGGGGCATAATGATGAATGAAACTGTGGGATGTGTCTTGATTATCCCAGGTTTCTAATGTATAATTGAATTATTTTCTTAAGTGTATTTCAAGCCCTTTGATTTCTAGCCTCTGTTTTTAATTACTCAGCCCCCTCTTGCCCTTGTGCATTATTATGCTGCTCATTAGCATTCAGTGAGACTACAGAAGTTTGACTTCTGAATAAAGTAACGTACAAAAGAGAAGGGATGCTTTTTATCTTACCACTTAATAATTTAAATGGAACCCTTTTCTTTAATCAATGTTTAATAGTACAATAGTTGTTTGTTTAAACTGTGCTTTGCCTAATTTTGCAAACAAAAAAGAGAGGCAGGATAAACATGTTTAGAAATAATAAGCTTTGTAACCATTTTAATCTTCAGAAGACTTAAAATATCTCCAGCACTTCTAATGTCGGTTCATCTCAACAAGGCAGGAACGTGGGCCCTGAATGTCTCTGTATCATTTATGCAGTGCTAAGAAGCACCAGCCTATTTTTTATTTGAGGGAAGCAGAAAACCTTGCTAATTGCAAAACTGAAAGCTACTCAGCAGCGTTAATATTGTTGGCATGGCCGCCAGCTGTGATGATTAGGATGTGTGACAGAGGGAGAGATAATTTGATCACAGGCCTGGGGACCAGAAGCTCCTGTGTCCTGCTCCTTCCCAGTGCACCTGCAAAGGCAAGGAAAATACAGGGGGAGATTTAGTCCAGCCCCACAGTGCCCAGGATTTCTGGGAGGGCCCTGCAGGGCACAGTGGGTGCCAGAACTGTGAGTGTAACTCCAGGGTGAGGGAGGGGATGGGAGCTCAAGCCTGGGCATTGACTTGCAGGAGGAAATAGCTTTCTGGGGCTAATAATTTATTACTAATAGGGCAGTAATTAATAATCAGGTGTGGAGGCTCTGCATGTGTGGTGCTGGTGTCACCAGCAAAATGTGGCTTTGGATGGGATCAAACACTGTGGGACAAAAACTGGGAAGCTGAGCCGTGGCAAGGTCAGGGGGACCCTCAGAACACAACATGAAAGAGATGGACTAAAGCCTCTGTCCCTCTGCTTGGCTTCCTCCTATGCAAAACAGGAATTGATCAGGGATGTGTTGAGGATTTAGAGATATCCGGAGACCGCTTTGGAGACATTAAAACTAGTGAGCATAATATCTGCATTTCAAAGTACTCTTTGGAAATCTTAATTCGTTTTGACAGCAACCCAGTGCTAGAAATGGGGTTGTCTCTGCTGCCTGGATGGGAAAACTGAGGCCAAGAGATGGGAAGAAATTATGAGCACAGGACAGCACTAGGCCAGGGAAA